TACACTGCCACTGCACAGTTCAACTTAATACCGATATTTTTTTTAAATAGGCATTTGACATTTATTGATTTTATTATGATGTAAAATAAATTGTAATGTGGCAATAAAAAGACCCCATAGTTTCTTGCTGGTTCTTGTCTAAGGAGGTCTCGCTTTTGGGGATATTTTTATGTTCATACAAATCGACATTGCATTAAATAGTGGCGTAAGAGAATCGCCTTTAATATATCACCTCATTTGTTTCGTAGGAGGCGATAGATAGAAAATAAAACAGAAAATAAGTAGACTTCCTAATAACAACTAATAATACTTAATAATAAAATCTGCAATTGCCAAGCCGCCATCCAAACTTGGCAATCATGACAATTACTTATTTAATCTTCATTACGCCTTATTCAAAGGGTTAAAATGGGCACACTTGTGCCTTATGGCATTCTCTACCAGTCAACCCTTAGAGGTGTGCTGAATCAAACTGTTAAAAATGCCTAGACATATAATGTAAATAAACATAAATTATATACACATAAAAACTATTATACCTACATGTAAAAAAAAAAAACAGTAAAAATATTAAAATTACAAAATATCTCCACTATGGGTCAATTTACAGGGGAAGCCTTGTTCATCATGGACTTTTGATAGAAAATAATGGATTAATGAACGAATTTTAAAATAAAAATAACTGGATTTGTTATTGGCCTCCTTACGCTTACTGCTAGTTGAACTTTTTCTATCCTAAATCCTAATACACATTGACAATACTGCCCCGGAACAAAATTACTCTCTAGTCTCTACCAAGAGAAGAACGTCAACTTCATAGCTTCATACTAAAAACGGAAACACGTGTTTATGAGTGTACACCACAGAACACAATTACTCTCTACCAAGAGAAGAACGCAAACTTCATATTAAAAAACGGAAACACGTGTTTATGAGTGTACACTAAAAGCGCAACGGTGGACGCCCATATAAAATTTTTTAGCGGAAATTTCAAACCTTTGTATTCTGTAACTTTAATTTTTTTTATTTTAAGGCATATTCGAGTAACTTTGGCTAAAGCCTCACAAACCTATGGGGTAAATTCCCATATACTCGTATTTGCGAGGTTGCACCAAAATTACTCGAATATACTTTAGGTTAGTAGATATGTGGGATAAAATAAATCTATAAATAAATATAGTTATGTAATTTTATTTTCTGAAAGACAGATTGTTTTATAAACTATAGATTATTATTGATGTTTTTTATTGCTTTTGTACATAATATTTTCACGCTTCTTACTGATATATTGTCAGAGAGTTATTCTTCACAGAACGGTAACGTAAATTTAAAGCAGCAAAATTCTCATGATGAAAACTTAACTCAGCCCAGATACGTGATCTGAAACAGATACATTTCGAGTCAATATAGTAATAATCCCTACAAATAACGCCCAATGAATTCAAAATGTTTATAGACTTACCACAATATTGTCATAAGTTTTTCTTTTCCTATCATAGGAAACCTGCAGACAGTGATCAGATGATTTTGTGCTTTTTATTTGCACAACACTTAACTAACTTTCGATGATGATCAAAAATCGTGCATAAAACTTTGAAATAATGAATTCTTTCAAAGTATCGTATTTATTTGTATCTTATGTACGTATCTTATACAGAGTTAACATCTTACAAAAAATCTTGACTGTATATTCACGACGATATTATGACTGTGTATTCACCTACATACGAAAATGAGGTCCATAATAACTGAATTTAAGCAAAAATCAATAATAATTATTAAAAACTAAACCTATGAACAAAATTTTAATAAATTTCAGAAAATATCTTCATTATGAAAGACTTTGACAAACAAATGTCATTTTTATTCTTTTTCTATTAATTCATGGCTTCTTTTGATAGAATTTTGCTAATATTAAATAATTTAATTGAAATGAATTAATAGGTAAATTAATTGTGTAAATCTCAGAGTAATATGTATGTAATTATACTTTAAAGAGCAAGCCAAAAAAGCTTAACACAGAATTAACACTTAGTTTCTTTCGATATAATATGAATTTGTGTATCTAATTTTTAAAATGGCAATCTAAAACATGAAGGAAAGAAACAGCGATATTTTTTCTCGCTTTATTTTTACAAGCCCAACACGAACATTGACAAAATCATGATTATGTGTAGATTTATCAGCTTTCATCCCGCCTAAGGGTATTAGTGTTCTGTGTTTCATACAAAGTTGGATCACCCTGGTGTACACTAAAAGCGCTAAAATGGACGCCCATATAAAACTTTTTAGCGGGAATTTCAAACCTTTGTATTCTGTAACTTTAAAATTTTAATTTAAGGCATATTCGAGTAATTTTGGCTCAAGCCTCACAAACCTATGGGGTAAATTCCCATATACTCGTATTTGAGAGGTTGCACCAAAATTACTCGAATATACTTTAGATTAGTATGAGGGATAAAATAAAACTATAAATAAGTATAGTTATGTAATTTTATTTTCTGAAAGACAGATTGTTTTATAAACTATACATTATTATTGATGTTTTTTATTGCTTTTGTACATAACATTTCCACGCTTCTTACTGATATATTGTCAGAGAGTTATTCTTCACAGAACATTAACGTAAATTTAAATCAGCAAAATTCAAATGATGAAAACTTAACTCAGCACAAATACGTGATCTGAAACAGATACAATTCGAGTCAATATAGTAATAATCCCTACAAATAACGGCCAATAAATTCAAAATGTTTATATACTTACCACAATATTGTCATAAGTTTTTCTTTTCCTATCATAGGAAACCTGCAGACAGTGATCAGATGATTTTGTGCTTTTTATTTGCACAACACTTAACTTAGTTTCGATGATGATTACAAATCGTGCATAAAACTTTGAAATAATGAATTCATTTATATTCAATATCTTATACAGAGTTAACATCTCACAAAAAAATCTTTACTGTATATTCACGACGATATTATGACTATACCTACATACGAAAATGAAGTCCATAATAACTGAAATGAATGAACTAAATTTTAATAAATTTCAGAAAATATCTTCAATATAAAAGACGTTGACAAATCAATGTAATTTTTTTCTTTTTCTATTAATTCATAGCTTCTTTTGATAGAATTCTGCTAATATTAAATAATTTAATTTAAATAAATTAATAGGTAAATTAATTGTGCAAATCTTAGAGTAATATGTATGTAATTATACTATAAAGAACAAATCAAAAAAAGCTTAACACAGAATTAACATTTTTAGTTTCTTCCGATATAATATGAATTTGTGTATCTAATCACGTCTTTCGTGCGCAGCTCAAAGATCGCGTGCAACAGAGTATTGAAAACCTGCAGCAGTGGGCCCTTGAGGTGGAGAAGCTGGTTCGAAAATCATACCAGTCTGTACCTGCGCTCATTGTAGGGAACCTGGTGCAGACATTCATCGACGGCATCCGCGACCTTGAAGTCAGAGCTGCTGTGAGGCTCAGGCACCACGAGACGCTTAAGGATGCCTTGACTCATGCACTGGAGGTGGAAGCCGTGCGGGAGGATCATCGTTCCCATCGCATCAGGGAGGTTGCAGCAGCTACAGTTCGCGATCGCAATAAAGGATACAGCCCTAGGTGCTACGACTGTGGTGAAAGGGGCCATCTTTTATCCAGCCGCCCTAAGCGAACTGTAGAAAGGGAAAGTGATCGATCTCGAGAGGGTAGCGCGGCTGATAGCACCGCCCAGCAGCAGCAGGGAAACGAGTAAAAGCCAGGACTGCGGGGCGGGTGCTGGCTGATGTTAAAAGAGCCCCAAGAATTTCGATCTCACAAACCCATGATGAGAACAGCCTAATCATCAAGGGCGAGGTCAACGGAACGCCGTGTAAACTGACCATAGACACTGGAGCCTCTCGCACGGCTGACAACTGTCAGTTCCCAACTTATAAGTCAATTCCTTGGGGACTCCGCATACAATCGAGAACGCATTAATTTGGTGACAGCCACTGGTCACCGCATACCCGTCCGTGGAGAGAAGGAGATGGAGTTCAGGCTAGGCAACATGATCTACCTGCATAATATCATCGTGGCTGATATAATGGACGACTGCATCCTGGGCCTAGACTTTATGAGGAAGAATTGTTGTGAGATCGACGTTAAGCAAGGTGTTTTGAAATGTGGACAAGAGGAACTTTTTGTGGAAGGGGCGTTACCAGGGAATGTGTACAGCCTTTGTTCTTCCGCCGAGATAGGAAACGATTGTGCCGGTTAGTCTTCCTCGGAATCCTGTTCAAGCTCATCGTTGTATACTCGTGGAAAGGGTAGACTATAACCTTCCATGGAAGGTGGCTCGAACCTTGGTCAGAACCATCGACATCTCAAGAGTACGTGTGTTGAACCTTTGTGATCAGTAACAGATTATAGAAAAAGACATATTGACTGAGACCCCCGGCAAGGATGGACAAACGAGAGTGACCACACTTTTAGAAGACTGTTGCAGCGTTCTCTCCCCGAATGAAAAGGTCAAGGCAAAGAAGTTGTTACTCAAGTACGCCGATGTTTTCTCGTCAAACGATGCTGACATAGGAAAAACGGGCTTAGTTCAACACAAAATAAACACAGGAGAATAATTGCCTATCCGTCAGCGGCCAAGAAGATTGCCTGTAGCCCGTGAAAAGGAAGTGGAAACCATGATTGAGGGAATGGTGAAGGATGGCGTTATTGAACCTTCATCTAGTCCATGGCGTTCACCTGTGGTGCTGGTAAAGAAGAAAGACGGCAGCATGCGGTTTTGAGTTGACTACCGCCGTCTGAACGATGTTACAAAGAAGGACAGCTATCCCTTGCCAAGAATTGATGACACGCTGGACATGCTTACAAGCGTAAAGTGGTTTAGTACGCTGGACCTGAAAAGTGGCTACTGGCAGGTTGAAATTGATCCTAAGGACAAGGAGAAACTGCATTCTCCACAGGAAAAGGTCTGTGGCAATTTAAAGTCATGCTGTTTGGATTGTGCAATGCTCAAGCAACGTTTGAAAGGTTGATGGAGCTTGTACTTACCGGGCTAATTGGCGATGCCTGTCTGGTCTACTTGGATGACATCATCATCGTAGGCCGTACGTTTGAGGAACACCTTCAAAACCTGGAACGCGTGCTCATGAAGATCCAGAGTGCCAACCTCAAGTTGAGTCCAAAGAAATGTTTACTATTCAAACGGGAAGTCAGCTTTTTGGGGTATGTAGTGTCGGAAGGAGGTATCCGCACGGATCCAGAGAAAATTGCCGCTGTCAAGGATTGGCCGGTGCCAAAAGACAAGACGCAGGTTAGAGCATTTTTGGGTTTGTGCTCCTATTATAGGCGATTTGTGAAGAACTTTGCAGATATAGCCAAACCTCTGCACAAGCTAACCGAGGAGAAACGACATTTCTGCTGGGATGCAAGTTGCGATATCACATTCCAGGAGCTCAAGGACCGTCTGTGCAAAACACCTATTTTGGGGTACCCTGATGCGGACAAGGAATTTATAGTTGACACAGACGCAAGTGATATAGGACTTGGCTCAACACACCGCCAAGTTGTGGTTGTGATAGCGTACTTCAGCAAGTCGTTGTCAAAGTTGGAAAGGAACTATTGTGTCACAAGACGGGAATAGATTGCTGTGGTAAAGTCCTTGCAGTATTTCAGCAAATATCTTCTGGGGCGGAAATTTAACTTACGAACTGACCATGTTGCACTGAAATGGCTATTGCAGTTCAAAAATCCGGAAGGACAAGTTGCGAGATGGATTGAACTACTGTAGGAATACGACTTTGTGATCGAACATCACAGCGGGAAATCTCATGGCAATGCAGATGCATTGTCAAGAAGACCTTGCCCTAAAGATTGCAAGCATTGTATTAGGCAAGAGGGTAAGGAAGTGGTATCTGTGAGAATGCTCAGGACAGACCAGCTTAGCAATGAGTGGAAGGACAGCCTAAATCATGCACAGCAGGAAGATTCGGACATCAAGCCGATTCTGGAATGGATGAAGGCCAGTGCTCCTAAGCCCAAGTGGAACGACGTCTCAGCGATGAGTTCGACCACGAAAAGCTATTGGGCCCAATGGGATAGCTTGCTGATTCAGGATGGAGTCCTGTGCCGTAAATGGGAAAATCGTCGGGGAGACAGTTGGCATTTGCAAATGGTTGCAACTAAGGCTAAAGTACCGGATGTTCTACAGTTGTACCATAATGGTTGTTCAGGAGGCCACCTGGGAGTTAAACGAACTCTACTGAAGATCCGAGAACGGTTTTACTGGGTCAACAGTCGTGGCGATGTCGAGGACTGATACCGCAAATGTACAAGTTGTGCGGCTGTAAAGGGACCTCAAACTTGTAGTAGAGGCGCATTGAAATTGTACAATGTTGGTGCACCATGGGAGAGGATAGCCATTGACGTTGCGGGGCTGTTTCCGGAAAGTGAAAGTGGTAACAAGTATTTCATGGCTGTGATGGATTACTTCACTAAGTGGCCAGAAGTCTTCGCCCTTCCAAATCAAGAAGCTTCAACAGTTGCAGATAAACTAGTTCATGAAGTCTTCTGTCGTTTTGGAGTACCTTTAGAGATTCGCAGCCATCAAGGAAGGAATTTTGAATCTCAAATATTCCAAGAAACTTGCCGAGTTATTGGCACTGGTAAAACAAGAAATACTTCTTACCACTCACAATCTAATGGAATGGTAGAACGATTTAATCAGACATTGGAGAAGTACCTAGCAAAAGTTGTGGAAAAACGGCAACGAGACTGGGACAGGCACATACAACCGTTTTGTTGCCATATCGAAGCGCTGTTCATGAAGTACAGTGACACCAGCTTTCGCAAACTTTGGGAGAGAATTACGGCTGCCTGCAGACCTGATCACCGAAATACCACCTGATGCCCCACGCAGTATAACCAATTATGCAAATGACTTGCGGAACAAAATGAATGACATTTATAAGCACGTCAGACAGTCGGGCCAGCAAACGTCTGAGAAGATGAAAACACGGTATGACCGCAAAATGAACAACAAAGGGTTTGACGAAGGTTCACTTGTGTGGTTACACAATCCAGTTCGCAGCAAAGGGAAATCTCCTAAGCTTCAAGCTAAATGGGACGGACCGTACCGGATTGTGACAAGGATCAATGACGTAACCTACCGAATACAGAAAGGTGCCAGAGGTACTCCTAAGATCGTCCATGTGGATCGACTGGCGCGTTATTATGGGGCCAATAATACTCGGGACGAGCAAGTCTTAAGAGGGGGCAGTGTTGCGCGCCACTATTAATGTCTTGTACATGGCAACACTAGTTACTACTAGCGCCCTCTAGTGTCGAATAGCAGAACTAGGAGGGACAAGATCCTTCTTGAAATTTTGGGACCGATATGTACTCGAACATTCTAATGTTTCTACAGTAGAAGGTTCTGGAAACTATCTGAGGCCCTATATAAGGACGGTATAGACCGGGACCAAGGGAGTATTGAAGTGGTGAAACAAGCGAATACTTCGAAGCGAAATAACTGCGAACTAAAGTGATCAGTAGTACAATTGGGTTTTATTATTAGTGTGATTTTAAATCAATTGATTTGGTTTTAAATAAAATTAAAGTAATTAGTGTTTGTTTTTTTTTAATTGTTGTAGCATTCTTTGGTGGAGGCCTATGTTCAGCAGTGGACTTGTGAAGGGCTGTAATGGTAATGGTAATGGTAATTAGTGTTCTGTAATTAAAGTGTCAATTTTGGTAATTCGGCAGTTTTTAATTGTCTCAAACCCCAAGCTCGTAACAATATTTTTATACGCGGTAGAGCCATGCTGCAGTTATATTAGTAGTATAGTTGTAGCTCGAATGGGTTGGCTCGTGCTAGCGTAATATAGCAGCTTAATGCTGCTGTGTTTCGTATGGTGAGTGTAAAGAACCGAAGACCCTTTTTACTGGAAATAAGTCATCTTAGTCCTCACGGGTGACAACGCATCTGCATTTTGATTTGTAATAGAGGATAGAATGTAGACGTCTATGGGCCGCAGCAACCACTTACCATCAGGTGAACTGTATGCCTTGACTCGCTAGTGGTAACTAGTGTTGCCATGTACAAGACATTAATAATGGCACGCAACAATATCAAAATTAACAAAATAATTGAAAGCATTCTATATTTAAAACAGTATATAACATAAACTTTAAACAAAAATAAACGCGTCATAACATTGACGACGTTTTGAGAATTCACCTCAGAGAACAAGTAACCATTTTGGAAAAAAGTTTCTTACTAAATATAACCACTATAACACTCTAAAAAATATTCAATAGCCATTTTCTTAATGTTCCCGGGAATAATAATTTAACGATTTCTGATTTAACTCAATATGAGTTTCATCGATATGGGTGTAATGAATTTAAATTTCATAATGTAAGTGAAGAATATGTTGCAAAGATTATATTATCAATAAAATCACTGCTCACATGCTCACGATATTGATAAGTTGAGTAGGGATATGATCATCTTAACACTTCCGGCTACGTTAAAAGTCATTACAGCAATCATAAATAAGTCAATTGAAACATCTACTTTTCCTTCTTCGTGGAAAATAGCTCTCGTACATCCTTTACCTAAAAACAATGATCTTAAGGATCTCAAAGACTTAAGGCCAATAAGTATACTACCCTTTCTTTCAAAAATTTTAGAAAAAGTTATTTATAATCAAGTCATCAAGTTTTGTGATGCTCACAATATTTTACCTGACTTACAATCAGGTTTTAGAAAAGGTAGAAGCACGTCTACTGCTCTACTTGACGTGGTTGACAATATTCTTACATCTCAAGACTCTGGTAGAGGTACGATCCTTACCCCGCTTGATTTTTCAAGAGCATTTGATTCTATTAACATAGATTTGCTGCTGTCTAAGCTATCGTTTTATGGTTTTGTAACATCTTCCATAAAATGGTTTCAAAGTTACTTATGCGGCCGTTCACAACAAGTAATATTAAATCAACCAAATGGGTCTTCCCTTGTTTCTGAACAACGACCACTTAATAGAGGTGTTCCACAGGGTTCTATCTTAGGACCATTGTTAATTATAATTTACACTGCTGATATAACTAACTGCATGCACTTCTGCAAATACCAGCTATATGCTGATGATCTACAGGTATATCTTTCCTGCAATTCACTTGAATTTCATTCCACAATTAGTAACATCAATGAGGACCTGAATCGAATTGCAATATGGTCACAGAAAAATTCCCTCATTTTAAATCCGCTAAAAACTAAGTATATGCTTTTAGGATCAAATAACCAAATCAAATTTTTAGAAAATCAAAACCCTAAAATCATGTTGTTAAACATCCCTCTGGAGCGTGTAGGTGAAGCTCGTAACCTCAGTTTAGTTATGGATAGCAGACTGCGTTTTGAAAAACACGTACTCGAGCTTGTCCGTAACTGCTTTTATAGATTATCGTGTTATATAGAATCCGCGAATACATTCAGTTGGACTTAAGAATTAGACTGTGTGAATCTCTCGTTCTTTCAAAATTAAACCACTGCATTACAGTGAACGGACCCTGTATTTTGGAAAAGTCACAACGTCTAATTCAACGTATACAAAATGCATGTGCACGATACTGCTTCTCAACACCAAAATGGTCCCATGTAACACCTTTTTTCAATGAAGCAGGTATTTTAAAAATGAAAGCGCGACAGAAACTATACCTCGCTAATCTTCTATTTGATGTTGTAAAAACTAAGTCACCCCTATATTTATATAATAAACTTATATGGAGAAATCGACAAAACAACATTAGGTCTTGTACGAACCCGCTTGCCAATCCCACTTACTGTTCTGCAGCTTTCAGAGGTAGTTTTAAATATATAGCTACAAGGTGCTGGAACGACATTCCTCCACCTATTCGTGAGTGTAATTCAGAGTACAATTTTAAATCCCACTATAAAAATCATTTATTACACTCACAAAAAGCTCAACCTTGAGCCAATCTTCCAGCATCGTTGAGCATGGAATGCTATATGTTTGTTTTTAGTGTGGATTTTCAAAGCTTATTGTTACGTTTATTTTTATATAGATAGATAACTCTTTATTGCATTTATACAAAGTGTTACAATTACGGAATAACTTAAGAACTACAAACGGTGGTCATATCGCTTTAAGCGATTTCTACCTGACAAACCGAACGTAATAGGGAACAATGTAATATATTTTGACGGATAGGTGCAACGTGCAATATAAAATGAAACTGAGGACAAAAACTTATAATTAAACATGATTTATATAAATATATGAATTATATAATATATAATATTATAAAATTAATAAACATAAATAAATAAATATATACATATATACATACATATAGATAAATATATACATATATATATATATATATATATATATATATATATATATATATATATACACACACATACATACATACATACATATATACAGGGTATTTTTGGAACGCTCCCGAAAACTAAGACAGGCGACAGCACCAAGTATACCTTTGATCATGGGTCACAAATAAATTTGATCCTGATGAAAAAAAAATCATATTTTTACAACGTTTTATTAGCTTTATTCACGCGCCATCATGTTAGTACAGCTAAATGAATCGATAATTTCA